GCCCTTCGGTTCCTGGCTGCCTCCAAGCTGGGCTCCGGGAGCTGCGGCCAGGCCCCTGCTCAGCCCCCTCTATCCCTGCAGGTGAGGTGGGCACAGAGACACGGTCACTGCTGGAGCAGCTGCGGGGAGAGGCCCTCAAGTTCCACAAGCCAGGTGAGTGTGAGGAGCTGCTGCCATGCGTGGGGCCACTCCACCACCTCCATGCCCATCCCGGCTCTGTATCCTTCCCTGCCAGCTGCTGGGCTTGGCTTGGTTTGGGTCATTCTGCAGCCCTGGGCATCCTCTGCCTGCAGGAGAGAACTACAAGACGGAGGGCTATGTGGTGACACCCAACACCATGGCTCTGCTGAAGCAGCACCTGGCAATCACGGGTGGGCAGGTGAGGCCGCATCCCTCAGCCCAGCAGTTCCCTGGAAGGCAGCGTTGCTGTGCCAGGACACACAGCTCACCGGGGGCATGGCCAGAGGGGGCCCTGTGGGATTGTGGGGGGCTCGTGTCAGTGCCCCCACTGTTGGGAAGCGTCTCCTGCCAAAGGACAGAGGTGTCTCCTTTTTCCCCTACAGGTGCGGACCCGGTTCCCTCCTGAGCCCAATGGGATCCTGCACATTGGCCACGCCAAGGCCATCAACTTCAACTTTGGCTACGCCAAGGTGAGAAGCACCAAACCCTGCTGGCAACTTCCACCAGCCCCTGCCTCCCCTACAGTGCTTCAGGGAGTGGGTGCTCACTGTCCCCCCATCCCCAGGCCAACGGAGGCGTGTGCTTCCTGCGCTACGACGACACCAACCCCGAGAAGGAGGAGGAGAAATACTTCACAGCCATCCGGGAGATGGTGGAGTGGCTGGGTACGGCTCAGGCTGGGGAGGGCAGGATCAGTCCAGGTGCTGCTGGGGCCATCCCTGCATGCAGGTTCTGCTGCTGGGCCTTGTGGTGACTCTAACTTGTGTTGTCTCCGTGTCCCCACAGGCTACCAGCCCTATGCAGTGACCCACGCATCAGATTACTTTGACCAGCTCTACACCTGGGCCCTGGAGCTCATCCGCAGGTGAGCGTGGTGGTGTGGATGTCCTACGCTGTGCCTGGGGCTCCCCCTTGCCCAGGGGATGGGCTGCTCATGTCTGGTGGCTGTGTGTGTCCCCTGCAGGGGCCAGGCGTACGTCTGCCATCAGAAGGTGGAGGAGATCAAGGGCCACAACCCACCGCCCTCGCCATGGCGGGACCGGCCCGTGGAGGAGTCACTCCTGCTCTTCGAGGTACTGCTGGCTGGGGGCAGGCACTGTGTGCCTGTGGAGTCTAGGCTCATGGCTCAGCTGACAGCTGCTCCCTTGATCCACAGGACATGCGGAAGGGCAAGTTTGGGGAGGGGGAGGCCACGCTGCGGATGAAGCTGGTGATGGAGGACGGGAAGATGGACCCCGTCGCCTACCGTGTCAAGTTCACTCCGCACCACCGTACCAGGGACAAGTGGTAGGGGGGGCCTGTGGTGTCCCAGCATGGGTGACAGGGGTGGGCCTGGGAGTGGGGAGGTGTCGGGAGGGGAGCAGCGCTGGGGTCTGTCCCGGGAGTGACTGCGCCTGCCTCCCAGGTGCATCTACCCCACATACGACTACACACACTGCCTGTGCGACTCCATCGAGCACATCACGCACTCCCTCTGCACCAAGGAGTTCCAGGCCAGGTGAGCACCGTGTGTAGCGCGGTCCAGGGCTGAGCTGGCTGCATCCCGGTGCCTGCCAAAGTGCTGGGGACAGCGTGTGACAGGCACAAGGCTGAGCCGGGCTGTGCCTCCCGTGCAGGCGCTCCTCCTACTTCTGGCTGTGCAACGCGCTCGATGTCTACTGCCCCGTGCAGTGGGAGTACGGGCGCCTGAACCTGCTCTACACCGTCGTCTCCAAGAGGAAGATCATCCGGCTGGTGGAGACGGGCGCTGTCAGGTAGCAGTGGGGCCAGCAGCCAGGGTGGGTCTCGCCCAGGGCACTCCTGGCTGTCACACCGGCTGTCACACCCGTGTTTTCCCAGGGACTGGGATGACCCGCGGCTCTTCACGCTGACAGCCCTGCGCCGGCGAGGCTTCCCCCCCGAGGCCATCAACAACTTCTGTGCCCGGGTAGATGCTGGGGGCAGGATGGGATGGGGCAGGGGGATGCATCCACTGGCTGGTG